ATAGAAGGATCTAAAATAAACTTTTCAGTCTCCCTAGCAATGGATTGGACAGGATGTGGCAGAAATACCTCCCACATAACACTAAGACACTAACTAGATATCAGTGGTTCTCTTTTTTTTTTTTTTTTTTTTAGCTATGGACAACTTTTACTGAAATTTAATTTAATTTTAACGATTAAATAAAAAAAAAAAAATTATTTTCTACTAATAGATACGTTTAGGAATTGTATTAAACAAATAATAAATGCATATGCTTTATTTTGAAGAAAACCGAATTTACTGAAAATAATCTTGTATTTAACAACGAAATTCTATGGAACATTTATATACCCTATGAAATATTTTTTTGGTGGGGGGTCACTAGTAATGTCCATATGGATCCTGCTTGACCAGCACTGAGATAAATGAAGAGTCACTTTTCACTAATGTGGAAATTTTATATATATATATATATATATATATATATATATATATATAATAGAAGTGTAAAACTTAATATTACTAGATATATTAAAACGGGCAGAAGCAACCGGTTTCGCTCCCTCTCTTCAGGCTTCAACTGGAGATTTAATTTATATTAAAATACAGGTGAGGAAAAGAAAGGAAAAAAATCCTCACCTCCACAACTTCCTTTTTTATTGTATATTTTGTGTTTTTAATTTAAATAGAGCAGGGAGCGAAACCGGTTGCTTCGCCCTTTTTTATATTAATATTAAATTTTACACTTATTTCTGTCATTAAATTTTGTACCTACAAAAATATCTTTATATATATATATATATATATATATATATATATATATATATATATATATAAAATCGTCTAAAACGCAAAAATGAAAAGCAACAAAGACAACTCATTTTAACAGATTCGTTTACCAAAATTACACAAAATACATAAATTAATAAGTAAATTTATTCAATAAAATCGCCATTGGCTTCAATTACGGCCACCAGACGACTTCGGAATCTCCTGCGAATCTTCTAGAAGGTATCCTTGTTTAAGCTGGTGAATTCTGCCATAATCCTTGCCTTCAGTTCATCTTTCGTGTTACAAGGAGTTTTCTTGGTCACTTGCTCAACTGCTCTCCACACACAATCAGTCTGAGAAGTCAGATGACCAGATGTAAAGGGTGAATTGATCGCAGAAATACTGACAGCAATGACTGCACCATGCCACACAAGCAAGAAAACCTAAAGACCTGTTGCCTGACATCGGGTGTTCCAGCAGCCACCCTCTTGACCCAGGGCAGCACTACATCCTCAAGACATGACGTAGGCCTTCATGTTGAGTGAGTTGCTTAGAGAAAATTAATAGAGGCATAACGTCGCTATTACTAGTGATCACTCCAAACACCTTCGTAATCACCATTAAATTTATCCAAATCTTTCCGAATTCTTTGAATTTTCCTTAGAATGACACCCAAACACTGTGAAATGTCAAGCAGCAAAGCATGTCGTTTCAAAATTTATTGCGGAGTGAATTGTGCTTTGTTTTTCTCATAGACGGGACCCAACTGATCCTACTATAGTGTGGAGGCGACAAAATAAAGACAAAGTGAATGCGCGAAATTAAAAATATAAAATGGAGACAATTTACCCATCGCACCCTGTATGTATGTGTTCAATTTGGTTTCGCAAGTGAACATTTGTCTCCATCGATGCTCATAACATGGTATCTCATCGAGACGCAACTATTCATCGTAACTGCAGAAAAGTGCTAACAATGTATATTGATCTCTTCAGACTAATATTCGAGTCTCCGTTTTTTACCCATGACTTACTGTTTCAGTAATATTCAATTCCTCTAGCTAAATCTATAGGCGTAAATAGTTAGCATTTAGACGTCTGTATGGAAGAAGGTAATTAAGTACACGTATTTGGTAAGATAATACAAAATCAAAATCATAACCTGAATACGAGAACCCGCTTCTTAAAATATCTCGTAAGATGCAAGAACTCACATGGATGCCATGCTTGGCGTCCATCAAATTCAAATATATTTGTCACGTTTTCTCAGATCAGTGCTTAAAGTGGCTTCAAACTAATAAATGTTTATGAAATGTTAAATTCAATTCTTCATCACACCAGACTGGTGCAACAAAATCACAAAGAGGCTTACCAAATAGAAAAAAAAAAGCATCACGTCAAGAACAGCGAAAATATGTAGCACATTTAACAGGAATGTAAAATTAATGACATAATCAAGCTGTTGACTTTCCACACTACCTTAAGTATGAAATGAAAATCCGTTCAATACTTGAAAGATCGATAACAGATACTGAACAGAGGATTTAATTTGTTAAAGATTTTTTTTTAAATTTCTACTGAGTTTAACACCACAAGGAATGGACATTTTCATGTTAGCATAAAAGACTATATCTTGCAACAGTTAATTCTTCAGTTAATTTTAATTAGTTGTTGTAATATTGCCCCCCCTCACCCAAAACAAAGCTGGGAGCAAAGTACTTTATTTACACTGCCTGGTGCTGCATAGCTGAGAAACGCAGGCTGGATGTCCATACATGGTGATAAAACAATTCAGAAATATCTAAAATAGCATTTGTATACAAATATTTTCTAGGATCAATGGTTAAAAATGACTTTGAGCAAGTAAAGTCTGTAGGTTTTGGCGAAGACTGTCCTTCGAACATAGTTATCAGGGCTGCGGAATCACAAACAAAGAACTGTGCCACATAACATGAGGCACATCGCTTGAGGTCTACCAAGAGCAGCAACGGCTAAAATGGATAGCAGATGTAAGTGAAGATCAAGATGTTGACATTCATTGCGACTTCAAATAAAAGGTTAGAAATGTATCTCCCATTAATACTGGAAAGAGTGATAAAGACTACCTATTGCTTTAAGAGAAAGGTTTTATAGATTTAAACCGAATGCAGTACTGGCTGCTCGCTCACTGTTACCTTGTAAGGAAACGGCTAATATTACCATTACAAGGTAAAATATGTACTTAAATTCTGACTTTAATTGCCAGAACATACGACAATGAAATACTGGGCATTTGGAGCGAGAAAAATATCATGTATGTCATTCTCTATTTTTAGGTACATCACGTGACATGTTGGTCGAGTGTTGAATCGTCGACAAGTGCGAGAGAATGCAGTGGTAAATCCTTATAATAGCCATCGATTATGTTGAATGCATGACAAAATCCTTGGATATAAAATGATAATTTTCAAAGTCGGCGGATTAATTCACTTGGTAGCCTGAAGGAACATATCTTCCATCATTTTCTTTATATCGATTTCATGTTGCACAAACTGAAGGTACTATCATATATATATATATATATATATATATATATATATATATATCCGAATGGTAATAACCAACAATTACTATTCTTAAAGAGTGCTCAATACAAAGTATATATAATTATTTTTATAAAAATATATAACATAAGTATGTTATAAGATCAACCTCATCCTAATTCAACCATCCCCCTTCGGTTATCAAACATATACATTGAATTTAGAATTATAACTCTTATAATAAGGAGGTTTTTCAATAGACATAGTGATTTTTATAATTCTGCACTAAAAAATAGTGGATACAAAAATGATCTTATAACATACTTATGTTATAATTTTTATAAAAAAATTATATATATATATATATATATATATATATATATATATATATATGACTTATTATGAACATTGTATTCAGAGGCTAGATATGCTCAAAAAGACGTCGTTGCCTTTTTTTAATACAAAAGCCTAGTGTCCTAAAGACTAAGAGCCCGACTAAAGAACATGCAAAAATAGGTCTACAGTAAGTATTATAGCAGTATTACCAGAATTCTAATAAAGGTCCTAGAATGAATATAATTCATTTTCTTTTCATAATTTGCTTTATAATACATATCATTTTTATTTTTGATAAATAATAACAATACATGTTTTACAGGGTAAAGAGGAATGTGCAACTGACTGGGGCAAACCAGTTTGAACATCTCAAGGATTGATATGTGTATTCTATTTTATAATAAATACAATATGTTTTACTGTATATCTACTTTGACATTCACCTGCATGAGGCTTATAACAATAAGACATATCATCGCGTTAAATAGTGCATTAATTGCCTATATATATTACATACAATAGGAATTAAGATTACTTTGTAAGGATTTTCAAACCGATTAGATCAATAAGAGAAAAAGATTCAGGCACGAATGTCAAGCAGGACAGCATGTCGTTTCGAAATTTATTGCGAAGTGAATGGCGTCACGGTTCGCTTTTTCTCACAGACAGTGCCCAACTGAAAGGAATTTTATTTTCTCTTATTAACGTAATCGGTTTGAAAATACTTACAAATTAATCAAAATGTTTAAGGTGAAATGATCATAATCATAGAGTAATCTTAAATCCTATTGTATGTAATTTATACGCTCTGTTTGAATAAAACATTGAGCTCTCCATATGAATCATTTTTAATATTTTATATTATTAGGATTCACTTGGATTATATACCAACGGATTATTACCTATATATATATATATATATATATATAATTTATACTTACCTATATTTGTAAAGAATTACTGGATATATATATATATATATATATATATACACACCCTAAACAAAGTTACATACATATGCATATTGTGAACTATTGTGATTTAAAATCTTTATGTAAGAGAAATGATTGTTAAATCGATATATTTACATGAGTAAAGTCATATACCAAATGCGTATATGTGTGTGCATATGAGTGTATATATATATATATATATAGATAGATAGAGAGAGAGAATTATAGTTGTGTATGAGATGTTTTTGTTAGTTATTCATTATAGGCAAATAAATACGGTCGATTTTAAATAACGGTTGGGTTGAAAAATTTTAAGTAGCCGTATTGAAATTAGACTATTATTGAAAATTTGTAGCTTTGTGCCCTCACTGTCTGAAAATTACAGACACAATATTTACTCCATTAGAAGTTGTGGGTGCCGTCGAATGCCGATGGGTTGATTAAAGAAGGTGGGAAAAACAGTAGGAAACTATAAAGAAATACGAGGGTGTCAGAGTAACTTGAATAAGGGAGGGAAAAGTGTTAAAGAATATGTTGAAAGGAGAGAAAGGAGGAGATGTTAATATTAGGTAGAAAAGGAAGAAAGTGAAAAGAATGTTTATTTGAAATTGAACTCTTAAAATGGGGAATGGAAAAATAGAATAAAGAAATGAAAACGAGTGATAAATTAGATTTGAAAAAAATTGAAGGAATTTAGAATTGAAGGGTCTGAAGAGAAAGAAAAAGATGAAGAGAAAGAAAAAGATGAAGAGAAAGAAAAAGATGAAGAGAAAGAAAAAGATGTTAAATAAGAGGAATATCTGAAAAGAAGAAAAAGATAGAAGAATGTAAAAGAAATATTAGGTATATGAAACCGTTTATGAGGAACATTAAAAGGCAACAAAGAAGAAAAGAAAAACAAAGGAGAAAATGTATCAGAAAAACAAAGGAGAAAATGGAAAGAGAGGCAAAGAGAAAGGTGAAATAGAAAAGTCAATGAGGAAGAGTTGGGTCAGAAGGTGAAAAATAAATGAAGGGAGAAGAACCTACAGGCATTTGGAGAGAGAGGCAAAAGAGAGAAAGCTAGATAAACGAAAAATAAAAGAGAATGAATAAACCAAAGTAAAAAAAAAAATGGATGATCAAAACGTATTGATTAGTCTACTGAAAGAAGAAGCGAGAAGGAAGAATAAAGGCTGACTAAGTAAAAATCTTCCAATAGAACAATAATGACGGGGTGGGCTAAAAGAAGGAGCAACACACAACGAGAGGAAAACGAGAAGACGATGAAGAAAATATAGTCGATAAAAAATGGAAGATGAAGAAAAAGAAAAGGAGACAATAAGACTGAAAGGAAGAGCAGAAAAAAAAAGAAAATAAATTAAAATAAGGAACATGGAAGTAAGGGGGGGGGAATAAACAAATAAAATTAGAAAGGAAAATCCACTCGAGAGTGAAGAATGGTTTTGATTTTTAAAATTACAAGGGTAATTTTACAATAATTTTAAAACAAAATCTGGCCTTTTATCGAAACAGAAAACTCGTTTCTAATGAGCTCAAAAACCTTTTCCTAACCTCCTACATTCAGAAATAAAATAAAATAAAAATCACTGTACATTTTTGACTAGATTCCATTTGTTGGTTGAAAAAGATAAGCACAACACTAAATGGATGAATAAAATATATAAATTAGACTAAATAAATACAAATACGAACAACGGGTGTTTTTCCCGCCAATTTTCTTGCTTTGTGATTACATCTTCCGCGAAATTCCGCCACGTTGCTTTTGTAACTGATTATTGATAGCTGGACGTGTATTCATTAGATCGAGATATCAAGACGTTAAATAAAACTGTAACTGAAATGTGTGTGTGTGTATATATATATATATATATATATATATATATATGTGTGTGTGTGTGTTCATATTTTCCTATTAGCCAGTATTTTCATATCTATTTTAGTTTGCCTTAATCTGTTTGGCAATCAACATATCGGTATCCACTTTACCTAAATCATGTATTTCTCTCAAGTTGTACCATTTTCGCTCATTCTCTTTGGGTCAATTTCTGTTTATATAAAATGATTTGTATCTGTCTAACTTCCCTCTACTTTTGCTTCTCGAATAATCGGTTGAAGATACCGAATAAGAACAAAATATGTAAATTATCAGAAACATAATATACGGGGGGAGGGACTCAAATAAATGTGAGGGTATTTTTTCTCAATGGGAGAAATAATTCCATTTTATACATAAGCTTGATAAGATCTGCTGAAGTTTCTAAGGTGAGAGAATATGTTAATGAAAGACAAATAAAATCAATAAACATTCATTTTTAACGACAAGCATTGTTTGATATCATGGGATTTTCATAGACAAGAAGGTTCAAATAAAGTGCTGGAAAGTCCTAAGTTTCACAGTGTTTATAATCGTTATCCGCCTGTTTATTTGAGAGGCAAGAGTATGGAACATTTTGTAACCATTAGCATATCTATTGCTTTTTATTTTAACATTCAGATTACATTTTCTGGTAGATTTATCCATTCCTTGAATACTACTGGAACATACGGTCTAGGGCTCCTACTGTATATTTAGAGATACTTGATAAAATCCGAAGAAGATTCTGCAATGTTATTGGTCCTGACGTGGCATTTTCCCTACCGTCGTCACCTAGTTTCCACGTGCCTTTTCTATAAATACTTTCATTGTAACTGTTCTTAGGAAATTTCTTCTATGGTGCTAAGACTATAAATTTAAGCTCAGTACGAGATTGGCAAGAAAGTCTGATCATTTAACTGTATGCTGCTAGTTTTTTTGTCTTGCACATTTAGGTATTGGAACTCTCTTCCGGCTTCTTGCTTTCCAGTAAAACTTGTTAAATAAATATGATATTAATCATTATCGTCTTTTTTCTTAATTTCTGTTTTTTTATTGTTCCGGTTATTTAATAATGTTTTCTTAAATGTTTACATTAATGTTTTCACAATTTAAATCGCTAGATGTAACCTTAAGTTCTATGCTGACAGTTTCTTTTCTTTTATTTCTAGCTTGTAGAACATTCTTCTGGTTTCTTGTTTTCCAGTCAAGTTAGATCTTCAAACAAATAAATACGATATTAATCATTAATTTCTGTCATCTTAATTCCTCTTCTTTATTGTTCCCTTTCCTTAATAATGTTTTCTTTCCATATATTATGCATTATTCAGTAACACCTTAACATCTTAGTGGTTTTATTTTCTTGCTTGAGGTGAAATAAATAAGTGATTATGTACTTATTTAGCTAAAAAATATATTCATGTCGATGATAGCAGCCTTAGTGTCTTTATTGCCTTGCTTGGGTTAAAATGATTAAAAGGATTCTTATACAAGACGCAGGATAAATTTCGTGATATCCATAGCGAAAGGAGAACCATCTACCCAATAGCTTAAATAAGATTGAAATCCCTGGTGATTGTCTAGACAGACAAGAAACAGTAGAAAGTCAAAATGACAGTGTCCAAACATTGTAATAATAACAAATTTGTTGTTATTAAAGATGTCATTTGATCCAAATAAACCTAGTTTCATGAGGTCTATTTGTATGCCATTTGCTATATATATATATATATATATATATATATATATATTAGGTTTAAGAAGGTATTCGTTGGAACAATGATCCAAAATATTGTTTGTAATATTCGCAAGAATTTTGATCGACACTGCCGCCCACTAAAGCCAACTACGTCAACCACAGCGCATGCCTATCAATAAATATTTATGTAATTCTGTTCACTTGAACAGTCGTGGCTACGTAAATACCGGCATTATGTTAGGAGATTTTTATTTGAGCGATAAAACAGATACGATCTTTTTGTTCGTGCAGGGAAAAGCGAGGTTTGCGAAACAACCGTGTTGATTTCGGACGTATTGACTCGACCCTCACCCGGCAGCCCCAGTGGTCACCCGCATATCTCTGCCTTTCCATTATCCGTCAGCCACAACATTCGCCGAACTTGTCGCTCGTTTCGTTCGCTCTGAACACAATTATCCCGGTAGAGGGCGTTCGGGCCTTGGCCTTTTCCGATCGGCTCGTAAATAATTGTTACGCCACTTGGACTCCATATTAATTGACTCATCTGACGCCATGTTCACTAACGCTTTCGGGACTCACTTCAAACACATCGTATATTTATCGCTTCAACTGGCCGTCCATCAAGCGGAGACCCTTGAAGAGGGTTTGTATTTCGCTTGCTCGTTTCTCGCGATCGCGCCGTCCTTGCCGATTGCGGGAAAGTGCCGATTTCCGAAGCAATTTCAAACACAAATACCTCGCTTCAGTTCTCTTTGATTCGGGACTTTCATTCTTTGTCTTTTTTTTTTTAATTCTTTTCTGTTCTCAGTTTATTTTAATTTTTACATGTTTTTCGTATCTTGTAATTTTCTTCTCCGCTTTTGAATTTTCATCATTTTTGTTTCTTTATCTTTCTTGGAGACTCTATACCCTTTACACTCTTTAATCATTATTCATTGATTTACCAATTTCTTTAAACACTTTTCCTTTTTTTTTTCTATCAATTTTTTTCTTTTCGTTTCATTTTTTTCTCTTTAACCTTTATCTTCTTTCTTTTGCAATTTCTCCACCCATTCTTTTTTGTTTTCTCTTTTTGTTCCATTTTCTTCTCTTGAAATTCTCTCTTGCAATTTCCACACCCTTTATTTTTTTTTTTTTTTGTTCCATTTTTTCTCTTGAAATTTTCTTGCAATTTCTCCACCCTTTATTTTTTTTTTTTCTCTTTTTTTTTCCATTTTCACCCTTTATTTTTTATTTTCTTTTTTTGTTCATTTTCTTCTCTTGAAATTTTCTCTTTTGCAATTTCCACACCCTTTATTTTTTGTTTTCTCTTTTTGTTCCATTTTCTTCTCTTGAAATTTTCTCTTGCAATTTCTCCACCCTTTATTTTTTGTTTTCTCTTTTTGTTCCATTTTCTTCTCTTGAAATTTTCTCTTGCAATTTCCACACCCTTTCTTTTTTGTTTTCTCTTTTTGTTCCATTTTCTTCTCTTGAAATTTTCTCTTGCAATTTCTCCACCCTTTCTTTTTTGTTTTCTCTTTTTGTTCCATTTTCTTCTCTTGAAATTTTCTCTTGCAATTTCCACACCCTTTCTTTTTTGTTTTCTCTTTTTGTTCCATTTTCTTCTCTTGAAATTTTCTCTTGCAATTTCCACACCTTATTTTTGTTTTTTTTTGTTCCATTTTTTTCTTGAAATTTTCTTTTTGCAATTTCCACCCTTTTTTTTTTTTTCTCTTTTTGAAATTTCTCTTGAAATTTTCTCTTGCAATTTCCACACCCTTTCTTTTTTGTTTTCTCTTTTTGTTCCATTTTTCTCTTGAAATTTTTTGTTTCCACACCCTTTCTTTTTTTTTGTTTTTTTTTTCATTTTCTTCTCTTGAAATTTTTTCTCTTGCAATTTCCACACCTTTCTTTTTTTTTCTCTTTTGTTCCATTTCTTCTCTTGAAATTTTCTCTTGCAATTTCCACCCACAATTTCTCCACCCTTTATTTTTTTTTTTCTCTTTTTGTTCCATTTTTTCTCTTGAAATTTTTCTTGCAATTTCCACACTCTTTATTTTTTGTTTTTTCTCTTTTGTTCCATTTTCTTCTCTTGAAATTTTTTTTGCAATTTCCACACACCCTTTATTTTTTGTTTTCTCTTTTGTTCCATTTTCTTCTCTTGAAATTTTCTCTTGCAATTTCCCAACCTTTCTTTTTTGTTTCTCTTTTTGTTCCATTTTCTTCTCTTGAAATTTTCTCTTGCAATTTCCACACCCTTTCTTTTTTTTTTTTCTTTTTTCTTTTTTGTTGAAATTTTCTTCTCTTGAAATTTTCTCTTGTAAATTTTCTTCTCTTGAATTTTTTCAATTTCACCCTTTTTTTTTTTTTTCTCTTTTTTGTTCCATTTTCTTCTCTTGAAATTTTCTCTTGCAATTTCCACACCCTTTTCTTTTTGTTTTCTCTTTTTGTTCCATTTTCTTCTCTTGAAATTTTCTCTTGCAATTTCCACACCCTTTCTTTTTTGTTTTTTCCTTTCCATTTTTTTTGAATTTTTCCAATTTCTCACCCTTTTTTTTGTTTTTCTCTTTTTGTTTCCATTTTCTTCTCTTGAAATTTTCTCTTGCAATTTCTCCACCCCTTTATTTTTGTTTTTTCTTTTTGTTCCATTTTCTTCTCTTGAAATTTTTCTTGCAATTTCCACACCCTTTATTTTTTGTTTTCTCTTTTTGTTCCATTTTCTTCTCTTGAAATTTTCTCTTGCAATTTCCCACCTTTTTTTTTTTGTTTTCTCTTTTTTTGTTCCATTTTCTTCTCTTGAAATTTTCTCTTGCAATTTCACACCCCTTTCTTTTTTTTTTTTCTCTTTTTGTTCCATTTTCTTCTCTTGAAATTTTCTCTTGCAATTTCTCCACCCTTTCTTTTTTTTTTCTCTTTTTGTTCCATTTTCTTCTCTTGAAATTTTTCTTGCAATTTCTCCACCCTTTTTTTTTGTTTTCTCTTTTTTTTCCATTTTCTTCTCTTGAAATTTTTCTCTTGCAATTTCCACACTCTTTTTTTTTTTTTCTTTTTTGTTCCATTTTCTTCTCTTGAAATTTTCTCTTTGCACCCTAATTTTTTGTTTTTTTCTTTTGTTTTTTCTTTTTGTTCCATTTTCTTCTCTTGAAATTTTCTCTTCAATTTCCCACCCTTTCTTTTTTTTTTTTCTCTTTTTGTTCCATTTTCTTCTCTTGAAATTTTCTCTTGCAATTTCCACACCCTTTCTTTTTTGTTTTTCTCTTTTTTGTTCCATTTTCTTCTCTTGAAATTTTCTCTTTGCAATTTCTCCACCCTTTCTTTTTTTTTTTCTTTTTTGTTCCATTTTCTTCTCTTGAAATTTTCTCTTGCAATTTCTCCACCCTTTCTTTTTTTTTTTCTCTTTTGTTCCATTTTCTTTTTGAAATTTTTCTTGCAATTTTCTTTATTTTTTGTTTTCTTTTTGTTCCATTTTCTTCTCTTGAAATTTTCTCTTGCAATTTCCACACCCTTTCTTTTTTGTTTTCTCTTTTTGTTCCATTTTCTTCTCTTGAAATTTTCTCTTGCAATTTCCACACCCTTTCTTTTTTGTTTTCTCTTTTTGTTCCATTTTCTTCTCTTGAAATTTTCTCTTGCAATTTCCACACCCTTTCTTTTTTTTTTTCTTTTTTGTTCCATTTCTTCTCTTGAAATTTTTCTTGCAATTTCCAACCCTTTTTTTTGTTTTCTCTTTTGTTTCCATTTTCTTCTCTTGAAATTTTTCTTTTTCTCAGGCCCTTTTTTTTTTTGTTTTTCTCTTTTTGTTCCATTTTCTTCTCTTGAATTTTTTTCTCTTGCAATTTCCACACCCCTTTCTTTTTTTTTCTCTTTTGTTCCATTTTCTTCTCTTGAAATTTTTTCCAATTTCTCCACACCCTTTCTTTTTGTTTTCTCTTTTTTTTCCATTTTCTTTCTTGAAATTTTTCTCAATTTCCACACCCTTTATTTTTTTTTTTTTTTTGTTCCATTTTCTTCTCTTGAAATTTTCTCTTTTTCCACACCTTTTTTTTTTGTTTTTTGCAATTTCAATTTCCACCCTTTCTTTTTTTTTTTCTTTTTGTTCCATTTTCTTCTCTTGAAATTTTCTCTTGCAATTTCCACACCCTTTCTTTTTGTTTTTCTCTTTTTGTTCCATTTTCTTCTCTTGAAATTTTCTCTTGCAATTTCCCACCCTTTCTTTTTTTTTTCTTTTTGTTCCATTTTTTCTCTTGAAATTTTCTTCAATTTCTCCACCCCTTTTCTTTTTTGCTTTTTCTTTTTGTTCCATTTTCTTCTCTTGAAATTTTTCTCTTTCAATTTCTCCACCCTTTTTTTTTGTTTTCTTTTTCCATTTTTTCTTCTCTTGAAATTTTCTCTTCAATTTCCACACTCTTTATTTTTGTTTTTCTTTTGTTTCCATTTTTTCTCTTGAAATTTTTTTGCAATTTCCTTTTTCTTTTTTTTTTTTTCTTTTGTTGAATTTTTTCTCTTGAAATTTTTTCCAATTTCTCCACCCTTTCTTTTTTTTTTTTTCTTTTTGTTCCATTTTCTTTTGAAATTTTTCTCTTGCAATTTCCACACCCTTTCTTTTTTTTTTTCTCTTTTTTGTTTCCATTTCTTCTCTTGAAATTTTCTCTTGCAATTTCCACACCCTTTCTTTTTTGTTTTCTCTTTTTGTTCCATTTTCTTCTCTTGAAATTTTCTCTTGCAATTTCACACCCTTTTTTTTTGTTTTTCTCTTTTGTTCCATTTTCTTCTCTTGAAATTTTCTTGCAATTTCCACACCTTTTCTTTTTTTTTTTCTCTTTTTTGTTCCATTTTTTCTCTTGAAATTTTCTCTTGCAATTTCTCCATTTTTCTTTTTTTTTTTTTCTTTTTTGTTTCCATTTTCTTCTCTTGAAATTTTCTCTTGCAATTTCCACCCTTTCTTTTTTTTTTTCTCTTTTTGTTCCATTTTCTTCTCTTGAAATTTTCTCTTGCAATTTCCCACCCTTTCTTTTTTGTTTTCTCTTTTTGTTCCATTTTTTTCTCTTGCAATTTCCACACCCTTTCTTTTTGTTTTTCTCTTTTGTTCCATTTTCTCTTGCAATTTCCACACCCTTTCTTTTTGTTTTCTCTTTTTGTTCCATTTTCTTCTCTTGAAATTTTCTCTTGCAATTTCCACACCCCTTTCTTTTTGTTTTTCTTTTTGTTTCCATTTTCTTCTCTTGAAATTTTCTCTTGCAATTTCTCCACCCTTTTCTTTTTTTTTTTTCTTTTTGTTCCATTTTTTCTCTTGAAATTTTTTCTCTTGCAATTTCCACACCCTTTTTTTTTTGTTTTCTCTTTTTGTTCCATTTTCTTCTCTTGAAATTTTCTCTTGCAATTTCCACCTTTTTTTTTTTGTTTTCTCTTTTTGTTCC